GGATCAGTACAATTTGGAGAGTTGTCCACTATGTTACAAGTCTTCCAAGACTTCCCCACAACCCCATGAAATATATTTTCTGACAGTGCCTATGTGATCCAAACTATACAAAATCTGGCATTTACAGCCTTCCGACCTCGCCATAGCCCCCTTGATCTATTGCTATCCTCTTTACAATTGCTGCTTGAGCAGCGCTCCATCCCTTGGTACATTCAACACCTGCACTCTCATACCAATCTTCCAGGACTTCTGGCAGAAGGCAGTGCTACCATTGACAGACTAATGATGAATGCTACCCTGGATCCTCCTCTCTTACAACAAGCCAGGGACTTACACGCCCACTTCCATCTTTCTCCCTAAGCTATACATAGGCTCCTACCTACTTTGCTGATTCAGAGCTGCAAACATCTGGTCTGTGTGTGCTCGTATGCCCCTCTTGTGCCCTTGGGGCCATTACAACCTGCTGGAACTCTCCCCAGAGGCCTTGGTCCTAATAAGATTTGGCAAATGGACATAACTCATTTTTCCCCTTTTGGTAAACTAAAATACATTCATCATATTATTGATATTCACTCTGCTGCCCACTTTGCTTTGGCCTGCTGTGTCAAGACTGCCTCCCATGCCATAAAAACCATTAAATACTCGATGGTCCTTTTAGGAGTTTCCTGGCAATAAAAAACAGATAATGGCCCCTCCTACACATTCACAGCTTTTCACTACTTCTGCGCTAACTGGAATATTCAACACATCACTGGCATCCCCTATAACCCTCAGGGCCAAGGAATTGTTGAGCATGCCCATCAAATGCTCATTAAACAAATACAGGAAATAGGGGGAGATAATGACAAAGGCCCCCTGCTATAAAGATGCCAATTTTGTTATACAACGAGATCTATTTGTCCTAAATTTTCTAAAATTTGACTCCAATGGCCTCCTACCAGCAATACAGCATTGGGGGGCATTCGTTCATTCCACTCCCACCCCCATGGTGAGATAGAAGGACCCCTTCACAAGAGAATGGAAGTGCCCACACCTATTGCTAACACAAGGGCAAGGCTATGCTTTTGTTTTTCCAGGTAATGCTTCAGCCCCCATCTGGATCCCGGCCCAAAACATCAGAGTTGCCTGTGATGCAGCCGACTCCAGAGGTATCATCCTCAGAGATGGTGACAAAACCAAAAGCCTAACCCACAGAAAAGGCAGCATAATGCCGCAGGCACCGGAACCAGCCAGTCCCACATACACAACAGATGAGCGACCTGACCATCAATGACTAATGACTTCCTCCCAATGCCTGGTGGGCTTGTTCTTTTGGGCTCACTCCTTGTATCCACTTAATCACTCTCTCCCCCCTCCTCATGGTTCCTGCTAGCCCAGCTAACCCCAAGAGTCAACCTTTATTCAGGGGACCTTAAGCTTTCCCCATTGGAACATTCATGTCATAAGAGGGCAACCGCCCTGGTGATTGCTGGCACCACTCTTTTGGGGATCAGTATTGCTGGTGCCCTAGGGTTAGGAACGTCAGCACTGATCCTACAGGATAAGAATTATAATGCCTTTAGTATGGCTATTGATTCAGACTTAAAAGAATTACAAACTGCTGTAGAACATCTTGAGAGCTCCTTGTCCTCCCTTGCCGAGGTCGCCTTACAAAATAGGAGGGGCCTGGACCTCTTGCTCCTTCAATAGGGAGGATATGTGTTGCCCTAGGAGAACAGTGCTGTCTCTATGCTAATCATTATGGTGTCATAAGGGACTCCTTGAGCTTAGTCCACAAAAGGATCTTAGAGAGAGAACAGACCAGGGTAAAGAACCAAAACTGGTATGAGTCACTATTGCAGTCTTTTTCTTGGCTCACAACACTCCTCTCTGCCTTAATTGGGCCTCTGGCCTTGCTCCTTCTAGTCTTAACCTGTGGCCCATTTCTTTTAAGAGCCTTACTTAACTTTATTAGAGACCAGCTTGCTACAATTCAACTTATGAAGGCACTGCCTCACTTCTTACCCCTACCCCCAGTCATGCCCAGACCCAGGTTTAAAAAAGATAAAAAACATGGTCACAGCCATACAACGGGCCTAAAACAACTTGGGTTGTCCTGCTGGGAGCCTTTCTGGGGACTACCTTGGCTCAGACAATGTGGATGTTGATCTTGGGGAGTCCTGGACTGAAAATACATTTGAGGGCCCTGGCTCAGTTGAGACTATGCCAACAGGCTTGTCCGTTCAGGTCTTGTGAGCATACTCCAAGATGGTCTAGCCATTGCCCAAGATTGCTTCATCCGGTAGACCTCTTCCTTCTTCATATTGCACCAGCCTTGCCACAGCCCCAATTTGGATCCCCAGTTTGGACCTCAGAGTAGCCCATCTTTTAAATAAAAAGGGGAAGATGTTGGAGTATGTTAGTTTGCTTTGATAAACAGCTTTTTAGGACACAAGATGGCCCCCAAGCTCCAGGGATCCAACCACCCCTCTCTCACAGGGCCAATCACATGATTTACAGGAATTCTAGTCCTGATCAGTAAAACAAAACCATAAACCAAAACCTAAGCTACCTGCCCATGTATGACCTGATCATTGTACTCTCTCTTAAATGGCTAAGAACCCTATATAAGCTCACTGTTTCCTCAATAAAGTAGATCTGCATCTCTGAACCTGCTCTCCAGTGTCTGAATGTGGCTCCACTGACACAGCCTCCTCACCAGTCCTGGGGTCCAGGATCAGTCAGTGTACGGATGGCTGCACCGCAACAGAAAAGTGACTAATACAAATGATATCACTTTGAAAGCTGTTATTTCCAAAAGGTGACGCTTGATTTATTTAAAAACCATTTCTTTTTTCCCATCTCACTTTTTGAGAGAGGTCTCTTCACAGAACCTGAAGCTCACTGTCTCATCTCAGCTAGGCTTCCTGGTCAGAAACTTCTAGGAATCCAGCTTTCTCCATACTGGAGTTCCAGATGATTGCAGCCATGCTCCTCTTTTTATATGGGTGCTGAGGATCCAAATCTAGGTCCTCATGCTTGCATGATTGGCTGCTTAGTTTTTGTCAACTTTCACAAACTAGAGACACCTGCAAAGAGTGAACTTCAGTTGAGGAAACAGGAGACTGGCCTGGGGAATGTCTGTGGGACATTTTTCTTGATTGCTTGCTGATGTAGGAGAGTTCCCACCCACTGTGGGCATGCCATCCTTGGGCACCTGGCCAGTTGGGCCTCGCTGTATAAGAAAGTAGCAGGCAAGCCAGGGGGAAGCATGCTGGTAATACACATTCCTCCATGATCTCTACTTCTGTTCTTCCCAGGTTCCTTCCTTGAGGTCCTGCCCAGCTTCCCTCAGTGAAGGACTATACTCTAAGCTGAAATAAACCCTTTCCACCCCAAATTGGTTTTGGTTAGTGTCTTTTTACAGTAACAGAAAAGCAGCTGATACACATGGCCAACACTTTAACCAGTGAACCACTTGTCATCCCTGTGTTTTACATTTCTCTTTAACCTAGCAAAACAATGGAAGTGTTGGAGTACTTATATGTAGAAGAACAAAGTATGAACACCCAGTTTTTTTTTTTTTAATCTCCTCGAGAAACTGCAATGGAACATTCATTTATCTATTTTTATTGCAATTTATTCATCTTTTATACTCCTTTATAAAATCCAGTTTTAGCAAAGAACTTTATTAAGTCATCTCCCAGCACCCCAGACTTGATATCTGATCACCATAAAGATCTGATCAAGTTCTCCTTTCCAGCCATGTCCCAAGTGATGTCTGATCACTCTGGCTTCTGCTCAGCAAGGTTCCTATGAGGTCAGTTTAGCAAGGATCTCCAGCTCACTGACATTTCCTTGCAGTAACATTCTCTCCACTGGACATTGTCCTGCCCCTTGCCTACAAATAGCATCTGCCCATGCTATCAGAGATGAGCCCAGTCTCTCTTTACTGTAGGATTTTGTTGCTGTGGTCCCTGTACCTATTTCAATGACTGTGGCTAAAGCCTTCCTATACCATGCTTCAACAAATATTGCTAAGTAATTTTTCTATAATGGAACTCAAGACAATTAGAAAACACTCTCACAGTTCAGTGCTGATGGAGGCCTCTTCCTGTGGGCAAACATTTTTATGCTAATTTCTGGCATAAAAAAGTGAAAAGGGCTAAGATTGGTTCCTGGGAGGCTCTCAGGAGATATTTGAAATGAAACTGGTAAGACTAGAAAAATGCCTGTATTCTCGAATTTTTTGAAACCCTTATTACTGACTGGTCAGGAGGCAATATAATCACAGTTAATCTAGTCATAGAGCATCAGAACCATTGTATTCATACCAAGGAGTTTTAGAAAGTACTTTTTCTTTTATACAGAAAAACTTCAGCTCCAAATCAGCACATTGAACTTTAGAAAATATTATTATATAACCTCTGCTGTCTTGTTTTTAACTTTAGAATTTCAAAAACAAACTATTTCACATTTTAAGTTACTGAAGAAGAGAAGAGAAGGAGTGATTAAGGAGGAATGGGGACATCTGACATGCTTTCTTTAGAGCAAATGTTAATTGAGTCTCACAAAAAGATGGGAGTTGAAGGAGCAGAAGAAAGAAGAAATTCTATGCTGAAGAATAGAATAAGATTTAAAGTCATAAGTGTACATTCTGTTCTGGAAACTCAAGGAAGTAAATTTGGATTCAGATGTATGGCTTAAATTATATGAACATTGGTTTAGCTTTCATTTTATTTTTATTTTGTAAATACAAAACATTTGTATAGAAAGTTGTAAAATGGGTATCTATTTGTCTACCACAAAATTTAAACAGATGTCAAAGTCGGGGTTGGGTTGATGGCTCAGCAATTAGAAAAGCACTGACTGTTCTTGCAGAGGACCTGGATTCGGTTCCCAGCACCCACATGGCAGCTAACTACCATCTATAACTCCAGTTCCAAGGAATCCGACACTCTCTTATGACCTCCATGGGCACTGCACAACACAGATACACTTACATACATGCAGGAAATGCATTCATACATATAAAATTAAAAGAATAAATAAATATTAAGCAGATGTCAAGGCCTTGCTTTGTGGGTCTCTCTTCCCTAGTGGGTTGTTGCGTAATGGGGTTTTGCAGTAGAGAGACATTTGGATAGGAGGTCTTTGTCGACACCGAGATCAGCAGTCGAGGTCCGTTCAGAAGACTAAGAGCTTTCGGCTAACATCAGGGAGTAGCCCTGATCAGAAAGCCTCGATTGCCCTTTTGTCTTTAACAGTCCAGCGAAGACTCAGATGGAAAGTAAAAGGGAGAAAGGAGGGGCTACCAAGCCTCAGGGTGCGATGGCCAAAGCAAAAACGCCTCTGCCCTCACAGAGAGGCAACTCAAAAACTCTGCGTGTTTCAGGAGCCCCACATTCGGGTGCCAGCAGTGGGTCTCTCTTCCCTCGTGGGTCATTGGCCACTGATCCACGAGGACAAATGGAGCAGAGGCAGTGAGCAGGGTTGGGACAGCCATGAGTACAATGGAAAAAACTTTCCGGGAGTCAGCTTCAGTGAGGCAGCTTGTTTACTCAGGGGTAGTCGGGAGAAAATATAGGGTGAAGATGGCAGCCAAAGCTTCACTTCATAGGTGTTCATAGTATGTTCTATTTGAATGTGGCAGGAAGGTCCTCATGTAGAAAGGGGAAGTGGGATTGTCTGGCTGTAATGCAATGCCTAATTATCATACAGGAAAAAACCTAGGGGCAGCTCTTGTAGGTAGCTATGCCGAAGGTCATCTTCCAAATAAGGTCAGGCATCTGTGCTTGGAGACACTTTCTAAATAAGGTCAGGCAGAGAGTAGGAAGACCCTGTTGAGAAAAGGAGTCCTCCATTGAACGCCAAGCTCTGTAGAGCTATCCGGACACGGTGGACTGTGACCTTAACATCAGGGTCCCCCAACATTGATTGTTGAATATCCATTGATGACATAAGTATGTGTGTGTATTTGTGTAGGGGTGTGTACACATGCACATGTGTGGTGGGTAAGAAGTTCAGAGGTCAACTTTGGGGTCAGTCCTCAGATTCTCATCACCATGTTGTTGTTGTTGTTGTTGTTGTTGTTGTTGTTGTTGTTGTTTGGAGACTGGGTCTACCTCTGGCTTTGGGCTCTCAGATGGGCAAAGCTGGCTGGTCAGGGAGCCCCAGGAACATCCCTGTTTGCCACCCAGTGATGGGGTTACAAGCTTATGCTACCATACCTGGCCTTTTTACAAGGGCTCCAGAGATCCTGCTCCTGTTCTCATGCTTACATGGCAAGCACTTTATCTTCCCAGCAATCTCTCCAGCTCCTAATGATATGATTTTGAACTTGAATTCCCTGGGCCCAATCTGACATTTTAAACTGGAATATTAAGTTCAAGGGACAACATAACCCACAGGAACAGCATGAGTATGTTCTTGGATGCTGAAGTATATTCAGAGACTGGGGCGGTAGGAAAAAAAAAAACATAAACAATAAAATTTTCTAATTTTAAAACATCTTGACATTCTTAAATACTGATGCATTTGGAGCTAAATGGAAAACTGATGTAAAATGTAAAATATCAAAGAAAAGAGAAGCCTTACCTACATATCTATCCCTGGGCCATGTTGTTAGAACATACACACACTGAATTCTTTCTGTTTAAGGACACGTGTTTTGCTCTTAGCAATGTTTCTAGGAAGAAAAGATGAGCTGTTCTATTCCAGGCCACAAGGACTCAGTGAAGTTTTACCAGTTATACAGAGCTTGATATTATAGATATTGAAATTATACTACTTTTAAATTGACTTGGCCATCATCAGTCAAGACAATCAACTCAAGGCCAGAAGCAATTTAACTCTCTTCTAAGAGGCTTTCTTTTAGAGTTGATATTTTCTTAACTTTTTGAATTATCCAGAGAAGAGAAAGAAAAGCTCAAGATGTGAGTTTCAAAGAATTGCTGAGAGGCAAGGTTTGGGTTGGACAAGGGTACAGAATCTGTTTCCACACTGTGTGAGAAACACAGATGACTACCTCTCTTGGAACATGCCTGACATTCATTTCTTGAAGACCTCCTGCTAGGTAACAATCCAGGATACACATGGTCTCCTTGCCCCTTAACAGAGGAGAAAAATGGATTGAAAAATTCTGCATCTTGATAAAGATGATATTAAATTTACTTACTGGAGACCCTAACACATTCAACCCCTGGGATAAAATTCCCCCAAAACTGAAAATTTATCACCTATAACATAATAAAGAAACCAGTTTGTCCTGATCTTCTTATGAACCCATTGTTCCCATTTTGGAGTATAGCATAGAAGGAATGTTGTCACCCACTGACCAATTTTCATCACCATTTCCTAGAATCTCTTGCCATCTGTCCAAACCACAGGATTGGTTGGAGATTAACCATCATTCCTGTTAAGTCAAACATACTAGTGTAAAAGAATTCTCCCTGCCTGCTCCTGACTCATGCGTGCCACCTGGAGTTCTAACACTCTAGATGATCTGCAGTTCCTTGTTTTTTGTTCCACATCATGACATTTGCTTCCCAAGATGTTCCCATTTCAGGGTGAATTATTTTTAGATTTGGTGCCAAATCTCAGAAAGTTCTAGTAATAGTTATCAGTCATCTGACAAATCCAATGTTTAATAGAAACACACACTATAGACTACTGCCCTTCAATGAGATTATTATTTAACTATAAAAAGAAGAAATAATGAGAAACATTTTCAGAATAACCAGAAAAAAAACATACTTGGTATCAAATATTCTCCAATGCACATCCTGGTTCTTGAAGCCAAGATGCCTACTTCTTTTAGATCATAATCACTTTTCACCTTTTTAAAATCTTCCCTATATACTTATTTTAAAGAAAAAGCTATATTCATTGTCCAGGATCCAAATGCAGCCTCCATCTAAAATCTGACCAACTGCATCTACCTGACAACTGTCTAGTAAATGACTTCAGCTCCTGCATCTGAGAAATGGAGCAATAAATAAAGGTGACTCTTCCTGAGATTTCTCTGTTGTTTACTGTGTGATTCTTCAGCATATTATTAAACTTTTCTGAGCCTCAACTTTCTTATTTGTGAAGTAAATAGGTTAGTGACTACAGACCTTCCTTCATTTAGTCAATAATTTCATTCAGAGAACTAAAAACAAATGCTGCAATAAGAAGAAACAGCTATGGTAGAGACTTCCTGTTCTCTTTAGTTAGTAAAGATCAACAGATAGAAATAACCAGAATATCAATTGCAGGGCAAGGAGGGACTATGTACCCTCTATAGTCATCTTGTAAGGATCAGAGTGTCCTGTGCTGGGATAGACCAAAAAGAATCACTGCACACAAGGAAAATCTGTAGCACCTTACATGAATGTGCCTTTCAATGTGATCAGCAATTGCATAATCTGTGAATTCGTCCAAAGCACTTCTCTAAAATAGCCTGCAACATTGAAAAATTAGATCGTTCTTTTCTGAAAGCAATTTCCAGGTCTAGTTTTCCTGGACTGCTCTTTCCTTGCTGCTGCTGCTGTTGCTGCCAGCACCTGTGGAAATCTCTTTCCTACAGTGGCCAGTGCAGTGAATGACTGAATTGGTCAAATAATAGATTAATAGGCTGATAGTCTCAGCAAATAAATGATTTCTGTGGCAGGTTAAATGTGATGGCAATTTAATGTTGGATCAAATTTCAATCAGGAATCAATTACCGAGTGATTTAGAAAAAAAAGCATTATTATTTTCTGTAGCTCTGTAGCTAGCACACCATGTAACACCTCATGATAGGTAGAAAAATGATTCTCCAGGATCTTCCCCTCTAATGCCAAGACCTGTTGGATATATTCTTTCTACAGTTGCATAGTTAAGTTCATGAACTTGGGGTTCATGATTTGCAGTTGTAGTTAAGTTCATAAACTTGGACACCCTTTTTTGTGTCTTGGATTATACAGATGTGATGGTTTGAATAAGAATGTCCCCCATAGGCTCCAAGTATTTGGACATTTTGTTCCCAGTTGGTGGTACTGATGGGGAAGCTTTAGGAGGTGTGGCCATGCCAGAGGAAGCAGGTCATGGAGGGCAGGCTTTGAGAGTTATTAAGCCTTGCTGGATTTCCAGTTGCTCTCTGCTTCCTGTGCCTGCTTGAAGATGTGAGTGCTTGGCTTTCTGCTCTGGCCGCCTCCTGCCCCCATGCCTCCCCACCATGATAGACTCTAACCCTCTGGAACTGTAAACCAAATAAACTCTTCCTTCTATAGGTTCTTTCGGTCATGGTGTCTTAGCACAACAACAGGAAAGTAATTAATACAACAAGTGAACTAATCACATAATCTTTAACATTGGAAAGCCTTTCCCAGTGATCAGCCAGACACTGAACAACCCAAAGAGACACAATGGAAGATGAAGAGGGGGCACATGAGCCAAGAAATGGCAGGCTTCTAAAAGTTGGAAATGGTAAACATTAAGATAATAGATATCTATTATTTGAACCACTGATTTATGGTAACTCATTATAATCACAGTGGAAAACAAATATACATCTTGAATAATTTTCTTACATAGGCTTCATATTAGTTATACTCCTTATTACTGCAACAGAAATGCAATCGAAGCAAGTTAAAGAAGGAAGGGTTTAGTTCAGCTTACAGTTTGAGTGTGTAGTTCATCACGGCCAGGAAGGCATGGTATCAGGAATGTGAGGCTGCTGGTTATATTGTACCTGCAGACAGGAAGCAGAAGGTAATAAAAGTTTGTGCTCAGATCATTTTCTGCTTTTTATTTAGTATGGGACCCCAACCCATGGAATGGTGCTACCCACAGTGGGTAGGTCTTCCCACCTCAATTAATCTAATCTATATAACCAGTTCCTCATAATCATGGCTAGAAGCTAACCAATGTAGATAATCCCTCACAGGTATGCCAGGACACTTGTTTCTTAAATGACTCTAGAACCTGTTCAACTTAACAATTGATATTAACCAACACAGGTTTGTTCCCTTACACAAATTCTGCTCAGAGGAATGACACCTTGAAAATTCTTTGTACAAATAGTTTTTTATTTTTTATTAAATTTATGTGTCATTTGAATTATGTTTTATCATATAAAAGACTCTGGGTAAATACTACTACTTAAAGATATGGAAACAGGTTAGTAAAGTGCTTTGTGCTTTAGAGCTGACAAGAAAGTGATTGAGTGAGGATGTCAAATCTTTTCTTCTAATTCCTCCAGTGTTTTTACCATGACTGCAAACCTCTCACTAGAATTGTTGCGTATGACCCTCATGCTAACCACTTTGTCACAAAGATTAGATGCAGGTGTTATTATCTTTATTTTGTGAGTGCAAAATGTCTGTTCCACAGAACAATAGCAAGTGAAGCCAGGACAAGAACTCTTGGCTTTAAAATAATAACCCAGAGGACTGGAGGAATAGCTCAGTGGTGAAGAGCACTGGTTGTTCTCACAGAGGACAGGGGTTCAGATCCCAGCACCCATATGGTGGCTAACAACTGTCTGTATCTCTAGTTCCAGGGGATCTAACGCCCTCTTCTGGCCTCCACAGACAGGTAGGCAAAACATTCATACCCATAAAATAAAAATAAAAAATTTTTAAATTTAAAATTATAATACAGTGACCGTCCTGATTTGCACCCACCTACAAGATTTTCTGTATTCACCCAGATGTAAAACAGGTTTAAATGAAAGCAAACGACTTAATTTATAGCAGCAGTGCCTTATAAGAAGTTAATTCCCTTAAATCTCAGTTTTCTCATTTGTAAAATATCAACAATAAATATTCATTGAAAGAATTTGTTCACCTTCCAAGAATAATGGGCATATTGCATTTGAATGCAGGCCCTGGTCCACACACATATTTAGGCTCACTGTGCCAGAGTTTCATGTCAATTTCAGGGGTACCCTCTGTTCTTTCTCACAGATAAACAGGATCCGTATTTTTCAACCTGTCAAAATTCACTGAATCTTGGCTCAATTAAACTAGTACACCCAATTTAGAAAAAATTCGGAGAGAAACGAGATGTTCCCTTCACTGCTGTGGACACATTCATCTCTAGTGGTGGCTTTGCTTTCTTGAGCTCCGGAAGGAAACAGCCAGGAAGGTCAGTTCGGTCTGTTAGAAGGTTTATGTCCATCAGAGACACCAAAAAAGGTAAACCTTAATGTTAGGGAATCTTGCTGAGAAATTGAAAACGTAATTCAAATCTGAATGAATTCATCAAGTCAAGATTGATGGGAATAGAGTCCCTCCAAATCAAACATGGAGCCCCTGAAATGCTGGGAGAATGCATTACACTCATTTAAAACTACAAGGTGAATATACTCTTAAAGGAACTGCCGTGGCTCAACTCAAACCTACCCTCTCTAGTAACTAAAAAATTATAGCTAAAAATAATTTTTAAAGAAAATTACTAGTTGATGAGAAATAGAGCTAGAGATTATGTTTTGTTGTGAAGTTCTGATTACTTGGAGTATCTTTTACATTCATATAAAAGAAATTTGAAGAAAAAATATTCATTATGTAGTGGTGATCTTCCAAAAAAAATTTTTTTGCCTTTTTGAGACAGGGTCTCCCTATAGCCTCAGCTGTCCTGGAACTCACTATGTAGACTAGGCTGGCCACGAACTCCCAAAGATCTGCCTCCCTCTGCCTCCAAAGTGCGCCACCATGCCCAGCCCAAAATTTATTTTTATGATTTGAATACTCTGGGGTTTTTTAATGTATTCCAGAGAATTCATGTTCTCAATTTTGTAGGTAAATAATTCTGTATGTTTGTAATAGCTTGAAATTATTGCTTCATTTTTTTAAGTATGTGAATATCTGCTTACATTCAGATTGCCTCTAAGCTATGAAACAGCGTGTTGGATTTTTTAAATTCATTAATTGACTTGCCTGTTTATCCCTGTAGTTCTGTTAATTGTCTGATATATTTGGGCTTGAATAACTAGGCACCCATAGTTATGGTATATATTTTATTTCGCATAAAATTTATACTTCGTGTATTATCTCAGCTATACTGTCTTGGTTTTTCTACTGGTTATAAATAATCACATACTTTATTATCATGCTTTATTTATCAAATTATAGAGAAATAAAAATAAACAAAAAGAATGATAAAAATTGAAAACAATTTTTCACAGACTATTTCAGATAATGAGACCAAGAGAAATCATTTTATGAACTATTCAAAAGGTTCTGTTTTAGGACTGGAGAGATGACTTGGTGGTTAAAAGCACTGGCTGCTTTTTCAGGGAACTGAAGTTTAATTCCCAGCACCCATATGGTAGCTAACAATCAACTACAACTCCAGTTCTAGGGGATCTCATGCCCTCTTCTGACTTTTGCAAGCATTGCACTCACATGGTGCACTTACATGCATGCAGGCAAAACACTCATACAAATAAAATAAAAATTAAAAAATTAAAAAACATACACATGTATAAATAAATAAATTTGTTCTTTCTTATAGCATGAGCTTTCTCTGATAGAAATTTCAGAAAAATAGGAAAACAGAGGTTATTTTAGCGCCTTTGGTGGGAATGGACTGTTAAGATGAACACACTGATCCTATCTACTAATCCTTTAAGTCGTTGCATCCTTATGTCCTGACAAGTAGACAAAAAAAAAAAAAAAAAAAAGCTCATAGGTAAAGCTGCAGGAACAAAATGAGCCCAACCATTAAACAAAGGACTCTAGGTGAGATGGAGGCTCCGTCCTTCATGAACTGCCCACCAGCTATCCCTAAAGCTGTCTTAGATCAACACGCTGAGCTCTACATAGTCCTCTGCCTCCATCCAAGCCCCTCTTCCTCTAGACTTTCCCTTCCTGTAGGTAGCAGTCCCACCTCTTCATGCAGGTTGTGGGCCCAGAAGCTGACATTTGCTCTTTCTCCCTCTCACCTCACAGTACATCACTACAATCTATCAAGTCATCCACTGAACTAACATGGCTTTTCAGCTCACCTCCTGTGCTGTTTTACCTTTGTTCATATTGACACATTTTTTTTTATTATCACTCATGAGTCACCTGTGTTCCTATGCTCCTGTTGCTTGCCTAAAGTATGGCATGCTCCTCCACATCTCTGCATCTGCATCTAAATCTATCTCCCAAAAAAATATTACTGAAAAAGGTGTGGATTTTTTTCTGCCCTTCTCTAAAAATCCTACTTTGATCCAGAAATTCTTTCCCCTCTCCCTGTGAAATAGCCACTACTCATGTAAATTTATTTGTCTGCCTCTTCTGCCTCCCTTATTATACATTAAGCCACTTAAGGGCTTCCTGTTCATCCTAGAATAGGGCATGTGTTAAACATGACTGTTTTCTGGCGAATGAATGAAAGAATTTGGACGAACTTTTTTTCTTGTCAAATGAGGTCATTTAGCAAGATTAAGCGACTCGCCCAAGGCCACAGAGCAAGCTAAACCAAGAGCCCATAAAAGCAGATTCAGAAGGCATCTAGATTCCAGCTCTGTAATCACACTGCACAGCCAGCTGCTTTCATGTTTGACATAAATTGTGTTCAACAGCAACACCTTACCCTGAGCTTCCTGTCGTCTTAGCAGGCTTCATTTTAAGCTTTGTTTGATTTTTCAATAACAATATCTTGATTTTGCCTTGGAAACTACTTCTTATATATTCCTTAAGTCCAGAGTGAGAGTGTGATTGGACTCATCCTTTGACTTCAGGAGGAGATAAATGACCCAAGGCTGCCCAGTGAAAGCTGGGTTCTGCTAGGTGAATCAGGGATGATGTCAGCCCAGGACTAGCTAAAACTACTGAGGAAGAAATGCTTCTTTCCCTGAACTTACTGAGGTAAAGGACAAAGTTCTTTGAGAAAGCAGTTAGAACCCACAGTTGGGAGAGTTCTGAGAACAATGGGGTCCTGCAGTCAGCTGTCGCATATACCATTACAGGGTGACTGTGTTATGTGCAGGATAAGCTGCTCTCTGTCCTAGGATCCCTTTCCCTATACATTTCTAATTAGAGTAGAACATTGCTGACATTTGGCATGAGATTTAGAAGGTAGAAATGAAGACACCCATGTTGTTTTGGCACATGAAAGAGGCAGGGAGGGGCATGAGGTACTGATGCAGTATGTGCTCATCGTCCATCCCCTGCCCACCTGTCTTTGTGAAGCCCAGGCTCACATTTACTTTATTTTCATTCAGAATCGCATACAGTTTTAGCAATGCCTAGAGAAAGTGCCTGTTTAGTTTGGTGACAAAAAGATGCTTGCTTCTCTTCAATAGGAAGAAGTCAGGACATGGCCAGGGACTGGCCAGGACTCTGATGCATCCTCATGGACTCCCGCCATGTTCATGACCACCAATCTCTTCTCATTCTCTTACTCTCTCCCACTTTGCATCCGGCTTCCCTACCCAACAGCATGTTCTAATGTCTTCAAGGTCCAGAAACAGAAACAAAGGCTCCATAGAACCTAGCTAACCATCTTTCAGAACTACATAGGTCAAATTCTTATAATAAATCTGATGCATCCTCATGGACTCCCGCCATGTTCATGACCACCAATCTCTTCTCATTCTCTTACTCTCTCCCACTTTGCATCCGGCTTCCCTACCCAACAGCATGTTCTAATGTCTTCAAGGTCCAGAAACAGAAACAAAGGCTCCATAGAACCTAGCTAACCATCTTTCAGAACTACATAGGTCAAATTCTTATAATAAATCCCAAATCTGTGTGT